CCCTCAGCCTAGGGATTTTTAGGGGCAAAGGGAGTTTTATTTATTATTTATTCTTAATATCGGGAAATATTCCAAAGTAAATCTGCCAATGCTGGCTCAGGCACAACATTCTCATGCATCCACCAGCTGTGTTGGAAGGTAGTGCGCACACACACACTTGTACACACATGGACTAACCAAGCATGTGTATGCACACAAACACATACTTGCACACACATGGACTAACTAAGCATGTATATGCACTTGCACACACAACAACAACAACAACCGCCATTCGCCACTAAGTGGCGGTGACGTCACCACGACGCTTGTGCCAGGCTATGACTTGCACACACATGGACTTGCACACACACACACAAGTCAATGTGTGTGTGTAGGTCGATGTGTGTGTTCGTAAGTCGATGTGTGTGTGTTAGTCAATGTGTGTGTGTTAGTCAATGTGTGTGTGTAGGTCGATGTGTTTGTGTGTGCGTCGATGTATGTGTGTGTGTACGACCGTGTGTGTGTATAAGTCGATGTGTGTGTGTGTGCAGGTCGATGTGTGTGGGTGAGTAGAAATGTGTGTGTGTGTCAGTCGATGTGTGTGCGTGGTGTGTGTGTGTAGACAACTAATATTAAAAAATTAAGTTAGTAAATTTTAAAATAATAATGTGTGTCTAAGTCCATGTGTGAGTGTAAGTCAATGTGTCTGAGTGTATGAGTCAATGTGTCTGTGTGATAGTCGAGGTGTGTGTGTGTGTGAGTCGATATGTGTGTGTGTCAGTCGATGTGTGTGTGTTTATGTGTGTGTGTGTGTTAGTCGATGTGCGTGTGTGAGTCGCCGTATGTGTGTACGTCGATATGTGCATGTAACTCCATGTGTGTGTATCTAAAGTCGATGTCTGTGTGTGTGAGTCCATATGTGTATGTGTGTGTGTAAGTCTATGTGTTTGTGTATGTGGGTCGATGTCTGTGTGTGTGTAAGTCGATGTGTGTGCGTCTTTTTCGCCCAGGCAACGCCGGGTACTTCCCGCTAGTATGTTATAAATGGGCCCTAAATAAAAATAAAATTAAAAAAACACGTAAATATTAGAACACAAAATTTTCACTTGCATAATAAAGTAATTGTATTGTTCCATTTGCTATACTACCAGATAATACGAAAAATCGCTAACCTTAAACACCCAGTCGTTCATAAAAGTTAAAGGCAGTATAGTACTATAGTAATAGAGCAAGTGCAGAATCACTGAGCCGGAATTGATATCTTGAAAGCATTTAGCGTGGGGCCCTTTGAACTGCTGGCCCATAGCATATGTAGCTACTTTTGCTACTCGGATAATCTGGCGCTGGTTGTCACCCAAATGGATTTTTAGTTTGAGGGGTATACATTTTATTGAATGCTACCCCAAGTCTGCCTCGTCGTTGCTGCCTATGAGCAAGTACTGTACTCATGTAACTGCGATATGGCGATACTACGATATATCTTACAATATGAGGATTCAGTAACGTGAAATGAAGTAATATATATATTTTTAACATTGCGCTGTGACGGTGTCTTTTCGGTTGTCAAAAAGTTTGAAAGCATTCAAGGTCAAGGATGAGTGGCCGTGCTCGAGACAATGTTTGACATTTTTTTTGTTGTGGCTGCACTCACTTGGCATGGACACAGTAACACCCGGTGTACATTCATTATAAAGGTAAGAACGTTAGTGCCAGGGTACTGCGTCAGCACCGCTAAGATCTTGGGTTTCAACCTTGGGTGGGACAGGACAAAAATATGCACGAGATTATAAAGGTGAAAGGATGTTTGTTTTCAGATGTCATACGTCTTATAGTATCAGCCTGGTTGCTGATTCATATACATGATATAATTCTACAACTGGTGCTTGTAAATGTTTTACCTGCCATGTGAAGGGAAAAGTACTTATACAATTAGGTTGAGGCCAAGTCCCAATTGTATACGTGCCCTGGGGATAATTCAAGTCCAGCTCAAGGCACTGCGCCTGCTTGTGATGTATTCTGTGATGTATTTTGTGGATTTGAAAAAGTGTCAAGGCGTCTCTAATTTAACCAAAAATATTTCTCAAGAACTATTGCTGTGCAGAATCAGTCAATTTGTTGAATGGAGGCAAGAATGTGCATAACGTTCTGAAAAGCGAGCACCTTTGTAAACAAAATAGGTAAAATTGATACGGAACTCTAAAAGCCCTCGCAAACATCAGCACTGACTTCACCTTAATAGGAAAATGTAAAGTACAATGTTGCATATCCAACTTGCTGGGAACTGAGTTATAGGCGGATATGTGAACAGGTCAGATGTATTTGAACGCCTATTTAGGAAATGACAGTTACACTGCGTACAAATAGGTTACCGGACAAAAATACAGTGCAACCTTCTTCACTGTATTTTATAAGTACAATAATAAACTCTACACAATATTGGGAATACATAATCTGTGCGTGAAAAAGTCGGATTTGTGAACGTCTATAGAAAACGATGGTCACATCACAGCCGCCCGCACTGGGTGCACTGGCTGCGGGCAGCTGGTCACGGTGGACATGTGACGGTCGGATATGGGACGTTGTTCAGGTCTGGAAATGCAAGGTGTTGGGCAATAGTCCTTCTTCAGGGCAGAGTGAAAAGTTAATTTGTGGTGAGGTTTATTCAGTTTGTGCTTGCATGCAACAGCTAATGGTACCCTTAAGTTTTATAAGACAGGATTTTCATATCTGTTATAAAAGCCTGCGTTCCGTTTGTCCGTTAACACAATTATAAGAGCCATCAGAAGGCCTGAAGAAAAACGTTAAAGAGCGTTCAGCGTGCATCTTAAAATGCAGTCGGTGTGTGCCTGTTCTGCCTCACGGCAGATATGGGGGTGTGCTTACACAGGAACTTCCTGATATGGTGTTGAGGTTGGTCACGTGACCAGAAAGTTACGATTGAAGGTTCTCTAAGCCATGAGGTAGGGTGTCAGCCATTACACAGAGTACAAAATGGAGGCACAATAAGCGCCTCAGTAACGACAGGTGCATCTGTTCATTGTGGGACTTTAAGAAGCATTGTCTGTAAGTTCGTTTATGTTCTTATAATACTGGGAAGGCTGTTATAATGTTAGGATTGCCGTTATAATGCTGTAAATGCCTTTATGATGCTGTTAAATTGTTATGATTAATATGAGGCCTAGTTAACAACGAATCCTACCACTTGCAATATTGTGAATGTTATTGTAGTTGGATAAGTCGAGCCAGACTTGTGCCCATGTAACTTTAATGCGTTCTTGAGAGCAAGAATGAAGAAGTATCTCATCCACAGTTCAGTGTTATGTGTAGCACTGTACATTTAGGCTGCAGTATGGCGATTACACAAAGTGACCTTATTTAACACAATAGCTTATTCTCTTGATGTATGGCTATTCAGTGCTAATGGAGGTGCCTGATCCATCCAGGACCTATTGTTGAGATTCATGTTATCTAAAACAATGTTATGATGCTGCAGTGTTCATTCATTGTATTGATATTGCAAGTATTAACAGATGCTGTATTTGTGCTGTGTTTTTCCATCGGTTTTACCTCGTTATATTCATTAAATACGTTTGGAGTCGGATGTTCACCCTCGCTCTGAAGGTTTATTGAATGCGAGGTTATCTACTCGGATAGTGGTGCAATGCAGCGCACAGCGAGGCCGAGACAATGCCAGGTGGCTTAGTGGTGGAGTTAGTGGCTCGCAATCGCAAGGTTGCAAGTTCGAACGTGATTGGAAGTCGACTTAGCCGATCATGCTTCCCAGATAGATCAAATTGGTGCATTTTGTGGGTAAGTCAACAGTCATTTTCTTATGGATAAACTAACCCCTGCCATAGGAATGTGGAATTCCCACGACTGTCTCAGGGCTGTGGCCAGATTTGTATAGCCTTATTCACACCAGGCACACGTTTTGGGTGCATCTTACTTTTCAGAGTGCCTTATAATCTATAGAATGTGCTAATATTGTTTTAAACCTTCAAAGTAAAAGTGGACAAGTGATTTATTTTCTAATCTAAGTAAGTAAGCAGGTTTAGTTTAAAACAAAACAAAAACGGAATAATTTTATTCACCAAGATCCCAAAACAATTTGTTTTTGATAACTCAAGTGAGAAATATAACCATATTGACTGCTGATAACAACAACACAAAATCCATCGTTCACAAACATAGAATTATAGTTTTGATAACTCAAGTGAGAATGTAAACTGTGGATTTAAAAATAACAGTCTGAAAAATACGATGCCTGAAACGCTCTGTGTTATATTATGGTGTCACCAAAACTGTCATCAGTGCACTTGGCAATTGCAGTTGCAGAGGGCATGTGATCTGAGGAAGTTATCAAAGTTATATTTTTAGTGTGTTTTGTCAAAAATTGTACGCAGTAAAAAAATAACACGTGACCTCAGGTTTGAACAAAGCTCTCGTTGTCTTTCACAAAGTATATAGGCTTCCGGAAAACAAGTAACCTATTAAATTAGTTATTTGTGGTTTTACCAAGAAAATTCACTCTTGTGAGCAGCGAATTCCAGGCAATACAACCATGACCTCTTGCCCATGGCGTGGATATGGGCGTGGGATGTACCCGGCACAGCTATTGCCTGTAATTACACCCAAATTCCTCAGCCATACGAGTGGTTATCAGTTGGGGAGGAAGTCACAGATGTTGAAGATTAACAGCTTATGAGATTTTTTTTTCTGCAGAGGGGCAGTCGAAAGTTTTGTTTTTTTCTCTCCAAAAAAATACAACTCATTGGTGTCTGATGTCATCATCTGCCCGGTCATGCACAGCGCTATTCTTGATTTTCCACGAGTGTGCGGTTACGTGCCAGAACTGCTTTTTGTGTTCACTTTCTTCTCCTTCCGATTAGCGCAGTTGGCTAACGTGCGGTGCGAAAGAAGTTCAACATACACGCCGACACATAGACGCAGAACGCGACGTTTGTTTCTTGCTCAGCGGCGGCAACACACGGGGCGGCGGGGCGCGTGCTTTCTCGCAGCCACCAATCTGTGGCCTTTCGATCTCGGCGGCTCACGTTCATTTGCGTGAACAAGCGTGAGCAGGCCCGTGCCGGCCACGCGTCGCTTGCGTCCCGGCTCGCGTGCTCCGAACGCTCCGGCCGCGAGCGGTAACTTCACGGCCGTTTCTGCCGCGCGCTTCGGAACACGTGACGACGTCGCGTTAACCTTCTGAACCCGGAGAAAAACAACAAAAAACATTGATACAACCTTAGGGGCCGTCCGTAAATGACGGCACGCGATTTTGGACGATTTTTAACTCCCCCCCCCTCCCCCCATCGTCACACGGCGTCACAAAAAGTCAGACCCCCCCCCCTCAAATATGACGTCACAAAGCTCTGCCCCCCCCCTAAAATAAAACATGCTTCAAATCGCTTTAAACTATTGTCATTGTAGTGCGTATTTAATGTGGCGCTGCAACTCTGATGTTGTAGGAGAAAACATTTATTAAAAAGTCTATTTTATGAAGTAGAACGTGTTGTCTATCTATATATATAAAATCGTTCATGTCTGTCTGTCTGTGTGTGTGTGTGTGGACTTTGGCCCATACGCACTTTCATTGGACGGCGGTTGCCCCTGGCAACGGCTAGCCACGCCTTCGCCGCTTTCATTGGACCTGGCAACGGCTAGCCACGCCTTCGCCAAGGGCTGCAGTTTCATTGGACGGCGGTTGCCCCTGCCAACGGCTAGCCACGCCTTCGCCACTTTCATAAGCTCCGTATTTAATTAAATAATAGCCATTACACAGTATTGTTGGAGCGCTAGGGGGGGGGGGAAGGAACGCCACCCGTACCCTGCCTCTTCCAAGCCGACAATTTTAGGCGAGGCCGCAGGCTTTGCACGCTACTAGGCCTCGACACCCACCACGCCACTCTGAGGTAAATTCATCAAAGTTTTTCCTACTCTTCACTACACCCCCACCACAATGTGTGCTATTAATATTACTTTTAAACCCAACGCGCCAACAATCGATTACTTTAATGTTCACTGTACAAATACTCATTAAGCTGGGTGAGCGTACTGCCAGTCTATCATGTACACTGTAGCCTGCTTATTAAGCTCGGTGAGCGTACTGCCACTCTATCATGTACACTCTAGCCTGCTTATGAAGCTGAGTGTGTGTACTGGCAGTCTATAATGTGGACTCTTGCCTGGTTATTATAATCGATTCTTTATATGTTCTTTGTACAAACAGTCATTAAGCTGCTTGAGCGACCCCAGTTCGATTCCAACTCACGCCCACCACCGCTGACGATTATTTGAAACGGACCTGGCCCTCCCCTAGGTCCACTCAGCCTCAAAAGCGTAACTGCTGTCGTGTGTGAACATCGTCACTGGGGAGACAAAGGCGGCGGGGCATCGTGGATCCAAGTCCCGGGCGAAGCCGGGTCATGTGTATGTGTGTTTGTGTTTATGTGTATGTCTGTGTGTCTCTATGTATGTGTGTATGTATGTGTATGTATGTGTTTGTGTGTATGTGTGTGTGTATGTATGTGGGTTTTTTTTATGTCTTTATGTGTATGTCTGCGTGTCTCTATGTATGTGTGTATGTACGTGTGTGCATGTGTTTGTGTGTATGTATGTGTGTGTCTATGTATGTGTGTGTATGTGTTTTTGTGTATGTATGTGTGTGTATGTATGTGTGTTATGTGTCTGTCTGTGTCTGCATGTATGTGTGTGTGTATTGTGTATGTGTTTGTGTGCATGTATGTGTGTGTTTGTGTGTATGTGTATGTCTGTGTGTATGTATGTGTGTGTATGTGTGTGTATGTGTTTGTGTGTATGTGTGTGTATGTGTTTGTATGTGTTTGTGTGTTTACGCTCGCATTACACAAATGTGTTGCTGGTCTAAGGCGTTCCTCGCACAGCATTGCCGCTTTATTTTTTCAGTCGTTTACTGCCTTACGCACCCTGAAAGTCGTGTGTATCTGCAGCAAGCGCGTGTATGTGTACCTATGGACGCGCGCGCGTGTGTTGTGTAGGGGGAACGGTAGTGTAGTGCTTAGCGTGCTGTCTGTGTCTGTGTCTGTCTGTGTGTGTCTGCGTGTGTCTGTGTGTGTGTCTGTGTGTGTGCGTGTGTGGTGTGTGGGGAGCGGTAGTGTAGTGCTTAGCGTGCTGTCTGTGTGTCTGTGTGTGTGTGTGTCTGTCTGTGTCTGTCTGTGTGTGTCTGTGTGTGTGTCTGTGCGTGTGTGGTGTGTGAGGAGCGGTGGGTGTAGTGCTTAACGCTACGCTGCGCTACCAACCCGGCGAACCGAGTTCGATTCCCGCTCACGGCCACCACCGGTGACGATTATTTGAACCTCCCCTAGGTCCACTCAGCCTCGAACGAGTAACTGGTGTGGCGTATTAACATCGGCACTTGGGAGACAAAGGCGGCCGGGCGTGGTAGATCCAAGTCCCGGGCGAAGCCGGGTCATGTGTATGTGTTTATGTGTATGTCTGTGTGTCTGTATGCATGTGTGTATGTATGTGTTTGTGTGTATGTCTGTGTGTGTATGTATGTGGGTTTTTTTGTATGTGTTTATGTCTATGTCTGTGTGTCTGTATGTGTGTATGTACGTGTGTGTATGTGTTTGTGTGTATGTATGTGTGTGTGTATGTATGTGTGTATGTGTTTCTGTGTATGTATGTGTGTGTATGTATGTGTGTTATGTGTGTCTCTGTGTGTCTGCATGTATGTCTGTGTGTATTGTGTATGTGTTTGTGTGTATGTATGTGTGTGTTTGTGTGTATGTGTATGTCTGTGTGTATGTATGTGTGTGTATGTGTGTGTATGTGATTGTGTGTATGTGTGTGTGTATGTGTTTGTATGTCTTTGTGTGTTTACGCTCGCATTACACAAATGTGTTGCAGGTCTAAGGCGTTCCTCGCGCAGCATTGCCGCTTTATTATTGCAGTCGTTTACTGCCGTACGCACCCTGAAAGTCGTGTGTGTCTGCAGCAAGCGCGTGTATGTGTTCCTATGGACGCGCGCGCGTGTGTTGTGTAGGGGGAACGGTAGTGTAGTGCTTAGCGTGCTGTCTGTGTCTGTGTGTGTGTGTCTGTGTGTGTGTCTGTGTGTGTGCGTGTGTGGTGTGTGGGGAGCGATAGTGTAGTGCTTAGCGTGCTGTCTGTGTGTCTGTGTGTGTGTGTGTCTGTCTGTGTCTGTCTGTGTGTGTCTGCGTGTGTCTGTGTGTGTGTCTGTGTGTGTGTCTGTGCGTGTGTGGTGTGTGAGGAGCGGTGGGTGTAGTGCTTAACGCTACGCTGCGCTACCAACCCGGCGAACCGAGTTCGATTCCCGCTCACGGCCACCACCGGTGACGATTATTTGAACCTCCCCTAGGTCGACTCAGCCTCAAACGAGTAACTGGTGTTGCGTATTAACATCGGCACTGGGGAGACAAAGGCGGCCGGGCGTGGTGGATCCAAGTCCCGGGCGAAGCCGGGTCATGTGTATGTGTGTATGTGTTTATGTGTATGTCTGTGTGTCTGTATGCATGTGTGTATGTATGTGTGTGCATGTGTTTGTGTGTATGTATGTGTGTGTGTATGTATGTGGGTTTTTTTGTATGTGTTTATGTGTATGTCTGCGTGCCTGTATGTATGTGTGTATGTACGTCTGTGGATGTGTATGTGTGTGTCTATGTATGTGTGTGTATGTGTTTCTGTGTTTGTATGTGTGTGTATGTATGTGTGTTATGTGTCTGTCTGTGTGTCTGCATGTATGTGTGTGTGTATTGTGTATGTGTTCGTGTGTGTTTGTGTGTTTACGCTCGCATTACACAAATGTGTAATGCGGGTCTAAGGCGTTCCTTACACAGCATTGCCGCTTTATTATTTCAGTCGTTTACTGCCGTACGCACCCTGAAAGTCGTGTGTGTCTGCAGCAAGCGCGTGTATGTGTACCTATGGACGCGCGCGCGTGTGTTGTGTAGGGGGAACGGTAGTGTAGTGCTTAGCGTGCTGCCTGTGTCTGTGTGTGTGTGTCTGTGTGTGTGTCTGTGTGTGTGTCTGTGTGTGTGCGTGTGTGGTGTGTGAGGAGCGGTGGGTGTAGTGCTTAACGCTACGCTGCGCTACCAACACGGCAAACCCAGTTCGATTCCCGCTCACGGCCACCACCGGTGACGATTATTTGAACCTCCCCTAGGTCGACTCTGCCTCAAACGAGTAACTGCTGTAGCGTATTAACATCGCCACTGGGGAGACAAAGGCGGCCGGCCGTGGTAGATACAAGTCCCGGGCGAAGCCGGGTAGTACAGCTAGTATTTATTTAAAGTTGCGCATTTTGATGTGACGTCACATTTCTGACCCCCCCCCCCCCTCGTCACACATCGTCCCAAATTTCTGACCCCCCCCTAGGTGCGTGACGTCATTTATGGACGGCCCCTTATTCCGCAACTCCGATTAGCACGGCCGGGCTACGTACGGAGCAAAAGCAGTTAAACATACATACATATTCCCACAAAAGTATAATAACGTGATAAGACGCACTTCTCTCAGCGTGACAGTTGAAACAATGGTGCACGTTGCCCCATATGCCCACGCCTCTGTCCACCTATGTCTAGTTGTGTACACCCACGGTTCGTCGATGTGGTGGGGTAAAGTTGTGGGTAGCCCTTGTACTTCTTCTGAGAGGTGAGGCCAGTCTGGGAGACGGGACCTCTCGAGCTCCACGTATTTTGGAAGTCCTTTCGCCAGCAGTGGCGAGAGCGGGAAATTGCAGGGTTGCGCCTATTCCCAACAGGTTTTCAAAAAAAATGATTGCGTTGACAGTAAAGTAAATCGAAAGGAAACGCATTGTTTACCAGACAAAGTCCTCCAACCAGGATGAAAATTACCCATTTAGTGAGATCAGGTGGAAGGGAATGACGTTCCGTTGGCTATTATTGCCAAGCAGTCAGAACAAAATACTTTTTGGCTTACAGATACTGAATTAGGTGAACATTTTACATCTTTAAACATGCTCCATTAACAAAGTAGGAACTACATTCACTGGAGAGAAAGGTCAAAGCAACAATAGACGTATTATTCCTGTGAAAGAAGCCCAACACCATATGTCTAGGTTATCAGCTATTATAATCAATCCACTGCTGGATGAAGGCCTTCCCCAAGCCTCCGCCACCTCTCATGGTTTT